CTGATGCGCCCCCGTCCTTTCTTTACCTATCATAGAAATCCATTCGTGATTGTAATAATTCATCAGATCGTGAATTAAAGTCGAAATACGTGGATCGGTAAAGTTTTCTTGTGTTATATCTTTCGATACTTGTAAAAATGCATCTTCAATTTCATCAATTGGCATAAGAGCAATAGCCATTAACTTCTTGCATAATTCACGTACATTATCTTTGGTTTCATATGCTGTTTTTAAACCAATAGTTGATATCATTCTATATATAGATTGACAATGATGAAAATAGCATCCCACGTGACGTGTACCAGCTGGAAACTTAAATTAGTAAAGTGCAAAAGTACTCAAAAGCTACAGAGCAAAAATAAAACTAAAACAAGAAATAACTTCAGCTGCAACAGCCTTTATCAAGCCACCTTCAAAATCAGTCATCACAAAGGTCGGCATTAATACGGTTCCACGTCGTTTAGCTTCATCTTTTAAAGTACTAATGATAGCTCGATAACCATCCGTATGTTTTCCATCAAGTAATGCATAGCACAACGTAATAGCTGCAACAAAAATAGAAAAAGTGTTTTCGTAGTTAAATAATTTTGATATTCAAATAGAAACAAATATTCTCTCACCTTGACCTTCAAAAAAACCGATTATACAAACTAATTGTGTAAACATTGATGGTGCTGCTTTAAATGTGCCATCAATGAATAGCCATTCACTTTGAAATAAGAAATTCAATAGGCGATCACTTGCAAAAATCAGTAAACGTTTAAATCGTTTTTGATTTGATAAATCTTTTAATAAAAATCTCTCGCCATCAATATTTATTGAATACTTATTCGGAATCATAAATTCTAAATCAGATGGTAGTGGCGGTAGTAGTGACAGACGCAGACGACTCAAAGACGGTTCTAAAGAAACAAGACAATTATAGAGTTTTGTAATTTTCTTTTGTAGTGAATAGCTTGATCAGTAGCTAAGTTAGAAAAAGTCTGCTTTTAAAGACGTTAAGGCTTCAAACAAGCAACAAGAAAAACTTACGGAGCTGATCATATCTTGGCATTCTACACAGTTGTGCTTTCGTTAGTTTGGCATTTTTAACTTCTTGTTCATAGATATTTGTTAAAGAAATTAATTCTTGTTTACATCGTTCACGAATCACACCAATTAATTTTTTTATAACAACACGATCAGGATCACAAAAATGATCATGTTCAGATCTATTCATATTGATATAAACACCATCTAATGTTGTTTGTACCCAAATATTGCAATTTTCAACTTCATCACAACGCCAATAAATCTTTTTTTGTTGTTGTTTTATTACATTTAAAAGTATGATTATTAACAATTAATAAATCTTTTCCTTTGCTTGTGAATGACCACTCTATTCTTGGTATTGAGTTAGTTACTGAAGCAGTCACTGAGGTTCCTGTGTTATTGTTTGTTTTATTTGTTGAGGATAACACTTTTATCTGGTTATGTGATGATTGCAATGGTACAATATATACATGATCACTTGTATGCTTAATTTGATTTTGTATTGAACATGATTTGAGAATTGGTGATAAAGTTGGTGAAGTAATACTATCGTCTATTGATGCTATTTGGCTTGTTGCACGTAATGGCAAATGTGGTGTTGTTGCAAAAGTGTTTGTTGTTGTTTTAGTGGTATTGTTAAGAGCCATTATAACAGCGCTTGCAATGTCTTTAACATTAGATTCATTTTATTGACCACGATTACCTTCATTCATTCTCATCGCCATTGCAATTGCACTTGCTAATGTATTCACATCAACACCACTCATAGTAACATTATTTCTTGTATTGTTATTACCTACAATATGAAGAAAAAAATATATAGTACAAAAAACTTAAATATTTACTTGAAATTCCAGTGAACTCATTCATATTTCGTTTATTATTTACAAAAACAACAATATAAATATTAACAAAAACGTTTGCAGACTTGTTTATCAAACAATAGAGAAGATGAATGTGCACAAATAATATGCCTCCTATAAACAGATAAACAAAAACATATTGTTCATGTCGTCTATATTGTAATTTTATTATTCTTTACCCTTTAAAGTTCCTCCAAAATGGACACTGATTATTAAGATAAAAGATGGCACTCCTGTATTACGCCACTTAGATATAGATGACGAGAAAAGTTAGTCATACACTTGTCATATCCATAGTATTTGATAAGCATAAGAAATATCGGTGCCACAATGCGGAAAACTCGTCTCCTGGTCGTTCTTGATTATCTATGTAGTCCATTAATGTCTACTAATGAAAATTAACCATTATCTCTTGACTGAAAATCCATACAAATAGCTAAAACCCGGAAGAAACTTACACGAAACTCAGAAATCATTTAAAATTTAGTATCTACTATGACTTAGAATTATTGTAAGCTTTCAAGTTTAAACTAACTGACAAAATGTAATACAAAATCAAGATTTACTATTGATAGTATTATTTGAACTTCTCAGTGATTGATAACGGTTTCTAATGATATCTGGTGGTTTCTGCATATGATGAAGAATATGATTTTACAAAGAAGTCAGTTTCTTTAACAGAAAATGGCATTGGAACAACATAGTTCTCAACAACTGTAGGTCCGAAGTAGAGGGGAACCCGAAAGTTTGTTTCTCTTCTCCCACTTCTCTCTTCTTTCTCCCACTTCTCTCTTCTTTCTCCCACTTCTCTCTTCTTTCTTCTACTTCTCTCTTCTTTCTCCCCCATGGTCTCTCCTCTCTTCCACACAGTTTCTTCCCTCTAATGTTCCCTCGTCTCTCTGCCACACATAGTTTCTCTCCCATTATCATGTCTCTTCTCTCTCCCCTTATCATGTCTCTTCCCTTTCTCACCTATGGTTTCTCTCCCCTTTCTTGCAAACATAAACTCTCTTACCAACCATGGTTTCCCGTCTCTCTTCTATGTAGCTTTTCTCTCCTCCTTCCCCTCCAATGGTCTCTCTTGTCTGTGCCATGCATTGTCACTCTTCCTTCTCAACGATGGTGTCTCTTCCCTCCTCCCCACCGCAATGGTGTCTCTCATCTCTGTCACGCATTGTCTCTCTTCTTTCTCACCTATGATGTCTCTGCTCTTTTCCCCCCAATGAGCTATCTTGTCTTTGCCACACATAGCCTCTCACCCCCTATAATGTCTCTTCTCTCTTCCACACACAGTTTCTCACCCCCACCCATGCTCTCTTTTGTCTTTGCCACACATAGTCTCTCTCCCCCTATCATGTATCTTCTCTCACCTATGGTTTCTCTCCTCCTCTCTTGCAAACATAAGTTCTCTTAACAATCATGGTCTCCCTTCTCTCTTTCATATAGCTTTTCTTTCCTTCTCCCCGATCCAATGGTCTCTCTTGTCTGTGCCACGCATTATCTTTCTCTCTCTATCGTCTTTCTTCTTTCTCACCGGTGGTGTCCCCTCTCCTTCCCCTAATGTTCTCTCTTGTCTCTATCACGCATAGTCTCTCTCCACCCATGTTCCTCCTTCTTCAATAGTCTCTGGGCTCCATTTCTTCCTTGTTAGTTCCACTCTCGTTTTCTCTTTTGTCAGGAGTTGAGGCTCTCTATGTAGCTGTACTTATACCGCTAGTCGTGTAAGCAATTTGAATTGGCCACAAAATCAAATCCGCCAAGACATCGGTTTCAGATAAATTTATTGATTTCTTCTTCCTTCCATTCTCTTATCACAAATCGTGACAGTGATATGATATTAGTTTCTACTATTGGAACTGAGTTTGTTGCCCCTTCATGAATTTATATAATATTGGAACGTTTCTGATAGTATAAGAAATAAATCGACCACACATAGAGCTCAGACAGTTGCTCTTCTAGTACCTACTCTTTAAAAACTTGCTCCAAAGTAACAAAGGTCACTTGGAGATTATATTCTCGCTAGACAGTTGCTCTCGCAAAACTTTGTTACCAACGAAGATTTAGTACCTAACTTTACATTTAAAAGATCAAAAACATTTAGATACATTGTAGATATTGTACTCACTTATACCTGCACCGTTATTGTCAGTCATATCATCATCCACACCTTCTACCATCAATCGTGCTTTTAGTTTTAGAGTACTAAGTGACGTGAGAGCGACTATCCTTGGGAAATCAATATCGCTAGAAGAGCAAGTACCACGCGAGGAATTATCTGAAGAGTAAGTCTTATTTGGTAAATATCATCATAATATAACACTAATAGATTCAGCTTTTTAAAGAAATACAGTAAAAACACAAAACCCATTGCCATTCACCACATCAT